ATGCCCACATGCAAAATGAGCAGAAATATATTCAAACCTGCCACCAAATGCCACGAATATGTCTTGGACACCCCACTCCTAACAACAACCCCCCCCCCCCCCCCTCCAAGCAAAAGCAACGTGCTCTTTTCGGACTGCATCCGAACGGGGACTAAAATTAACTTTGCCTCATCTTGCTTACAGAGTTATTTTTTTGTCATTATTAGAAACCAGATGAAAGTCATGATGAAGTCATTTTTTCAGGCCTTACAAAACCCAAATGAACCATGCATGACATATCTACACAAGTAACTATGTCAATATTATGTATACATGTAAAATATACATTAAGTAAATGCCCCGATCATTTAAAGAACAGGTATTCATTATACGTACAATGAACATCTTTTCAAAATCACACACAAATTAAAACAGGTCATGTACACATCAGTTCAAGTCAAGCCTAATTTGCATAATTTATGTGGATAATTATATATTTACTTAGCAATTATTATAGGTAAAAGACAATACTATAGGTACGACTTGGATGAAATCACACATTCAACATGGAATCTAGCAACTGTTGTCACACATACATTCTGGAGTATATCTACTGGGTTTGATAATTTGTTACAATTTTTTAATACGAATCTGACTACATTAAGGATGAAACATATATTTCTGGACCTGCCCATGGCAACGACACAATATGTTCTTTAACAAGTCATTATCAATGACACAGTCACTGGTAGCATAGTGGTTGTCACATCAAGTTCAAGTCCTACCTTAGGCTGAACATCAAATGTGGTTGACCTATAACCTTGGTGAGTGTGCCACAGACTCAATTTGTTCACTAACGAATGTGACTTTGCAGAAACCTTGGTTAAGATCCGCAGGTGCTTGTGTTCAACTGAGCCTGGTTGACATCAGGATAGCGCATCTAAATTGCCATTTGATAGAGAGACGGCTGCACAGCCCTGTCATGTAGTTCCAAACATGAATATGGCCTCTGTGGCAAAAATGCACTATGTGTCAGCACTAGCACTTGCAATTTGCACATACAAAAAAAAAGTCAGGAGAGACAACAGTGACATTCAATGTCAGAGACTGTTGTCGTGTACATAAAAACATTTAAAAAAAAAGAATGACACAGTCCTTACTAAGTTTAGTAACTGTAAATTCTAAACAATGAAAGAGGTGGATAAATTATAATTAAATGAGTGTGAAAAATTCAGTATGGTAACTTTGTCCATAAACATGAACATAAACCATTCAGGCATTTTGAATCATGTATGTTGTTCATATCCAAAATCAGTTAAAGCATGTCTGAGAAATAGTTTAAGGAAAGCTGAAATAAAACATAAAACCAATGGCCTGCTAATCAACTAGTTTGAATAAAACCACAAAAATACAACTCATGTGCATTGTAAGTAAACCACCAAGTGTTTAATGATACCAAGTTTGAATGAAATTACCTCAGGCATTTTTGGGAAACAGTTCAATTTTGTTTGGTGTTTTGTGCAGTCTACCAAACGTTATTGAAAGAAAAAAC